AATGTCTACATGTCAACGCATGGAGGTGGCGCTGGTAACAATTGGGCGAGTGGTTATGGGCAAGGAGGGTATGTATTTGCTTGTATACATCTTGATATCAAACATTATACCTTTCTTAGGGAAGTCTACGAGCAGATCTTAGACATAATTGAGCGTGAATCAGAGAATAGCGACCAGATGAATGGTTTTTTGTTTACCCATTCTGTATCCGGTGGTACAGGATCAGGAATGGGTTCTCTCATTCTAGAAAAGATACGTGACAGGTGTCGTGTAAATTTAATTATTCTTAGTTTTCCGACGTGTTAATCAACTATTGCAGGTTTCCAAAAAAAATCATCCTAACATTCTCGGTGTTTGCAAATCACGGCGACACCAGTGATGTTATTGTTCATCCTTATAATTCAGTATTGTCAATGGAAAGGTTGATAGATTATCCAGGTATGTTCCTTCAAATCTGAGTTTTGCTAATTTTCATTGAATCGCTTACTGGTCATGTTTCGTCCCTTTTTGCCTTCTTTGCAGTCTTTGGCATGTATTTAGTCTCGCTTTCATTTTCCGAATCGTTTTTAGCTGCTCTACATATTACTCCATGTTTCTTTATTACATCAGCTTTAATTTCTTTGCAGATCATGTTGTGGTCATCGACAACGCTGCACTCAACAGGCTGGCTGCTGGAAAGTTTGAAACACAGCAACCGACTTTTGACCACATTAACTCATTGGTAACATTGATAGTTGTTTTCCTGCTATTTTCTTAACTTTTTTTTCTAAATAAAATTCTTATCTTCTTCGATACTTCTAAAGACCGTTTATAGGTTGTTCGCATTATGTCCACATCAACAGCGACGTTCAGATTTGACTCCCACGTTCTGACTTCCATACGTTCTCTATGTATATCACCAATGCAGCCTCTTCACTTCATCCAAGCAGGTAATTTGCTGATAGCCGCTTCAAACTTTTTCTTGTTTGTTGTGGATCATCATGGAACCTGCGATTTGTCATCAGTACTGATAGGTAATGTCATTTTTCCCGCTGCTTAAGTTTTGTAATGTAAAGGAATAAAAAAGTAAAATCTCATGAAGAAAAAGACTACAGTTTTAGTCAGAGATCGTGACATTACTCTTATGAAGACTAAGAAAAAGTTGGTTTCAGGTACAAAATTTGTTTGTCTTTCAGGTTTCTCTCCTGTTGTTGATCCAAATGAGTCGTTTACCAGGAAGACTTCTGTTGCTGATGTGGTGCGAAATCTTCTGAAACCTTCCTCTATGATGGTAATACTTTTCGTCAAATATCCTTGAGTATTTATTGATTTGTTACAATATGTCTCTATCCCGGAATTCCCAAAACATACAGGTGAAGATGGATTTCCATTTTTTATTTTTGGCAATTTCAGGTTTCTACTGCG